ATTTTATATGGTTAATTCTTTAATTTTTTGTGGTAACACTTAAATTGAGCAAGGTACGCAATTTTGTGATGTTTTGTATAATGTTTTGAAGGAGAATTAAATAACCACTACTTTAGTTGGTAGAGAAAATACTTTAGTTGGTAGAGAAAATCTTTGAATGAATTGTGATTAAATAACCACTACTTTAGTTGGAAGAGGAAATGTCTTTGAATGAATTGTGATATGATAATTTCATTTAAGAGGAATTTAAACCATTTGGATTGGAATAAAAAGATTCTTCAATAAGTATACGTATACTTAAGTTTCATTGTACAAACATTAAAGATAGTACCATTTGGATTAAGTAAATAATAAAGATAGTATCACTTAGGTTTTACTTTTTACTTTGTAGTAGAATTTAATTAACTTGGCCCCACAGTTGTTGATACTTGGCGCCACAATTGTTGATATCAAATCTTTTATACAGATGATACATATATCATTAGATTTAATAAGAACATTAACAGAATTTAACTTGGCGCCACAATTGTTGATATCAAATCTTTTATACAGATGATACATATATCATTAGATTTAGTAAATTTTGTGATAGAATAATTTTCATGTAATAATTTTTGAAGGGGAATAAAGCCATTATAACTTGGGTTGGAATGTATCATATACAAAAAATTTCATCAAACAGCAAACGCAATTAGTCATCAGTTCCACGGCCGATTAAGTAATTGACGTTGGTGAAACCGGCCCAAATGGTGGTTTCCATACGAGAAGCATGCACGCTTAGCGCTTTTTTTACCTTTTTTTTAAAAAGGTAAGTTTGTACACAATTAAAGTCCGAATTACATGGGATTTAACTTGGCGCCAATTGTTGATATCAAATCTTTTATACGAATGATACATATCATTAGAGTTATTAAGTAAATAACAAGAAACAGTACCTAAATTGGAACATCAATAGAATCTAGACCCAAGTTTTCCTTTCCACTTACGTATATTACTATGAAAAATCTAAATAGTAAAAAAATTTACAAAAAAGGAACATTTAAACCGAACATTTAAACAAATTTTCGGAGCTGCTTAGATAATAATTGCAAAAAAATTAAACCTCATCAATGACTTTGATTTTTATATATAATTAAAGTCGATACAATCATAGTCAGTCACGCACACTTTGACGTTTACATGGCGGAAATGACTTCTAGTTTTAGAAATATGACATTAAAATATTGAATTTTTATTCTCGATTAAATTCAGTTTTTCTCAGAATTATGTCAACTTTAATTATATGTAAAAATCAAAGTCACTGGTAAAGTTTAACCTTTTTGCAATAATTTCCGCCGCTTATAGCGGACTTTTAACTCTATTGTCTTTTAACGAATATCAAATTTTCCAAGCGAATGGCACTCATTTTAGTTAAGAGAAGGTAGGATTATACTATAATTTCTAATCGTTACTTTTTTAAAACTAATTATATAGATATCTGGGTAACTTCTCTTGTATCAGAAGTAATTCTTTTTACAAAGTTGCTGTGAATACGTAACTTATTTAATGAATTAATTAAAGAGTTATAGTTTCACTGACAAGCGCATTTTCGTGTTATACATCATTTGAGTATATTAGTACCATATTTTAAACATTTAAGGGCATCCTAAAGACGATTGATCATAGTGTCAGTAAGACTTACACACAGACGATTTACGTGTCACTGACACATCACTGCATACTATTAAATCAATATCTCACTGCATACTACTAAATCAATATCTCACACACATATTAATATACATACATTTTTGTATAATAATAGCGTTTTAATTAGACGTCTAAGTCCAATTCAAAGAACTCAATGTTGTTTCTTCGGGCAAACTACAATACTAATTTATGGACTACTATTTCATAAATACAGATTGCACTTTTATATGCAAATATTGTCATGATATGACAGCTGCAGAGTGTTATATTGAACTAAGAAATGGTAAAGAAGATCTAAATTTTGAAATTTTTTAACGTTTTCGGCATAAAATCCATCTCACAGACACATATTAATGCGTATACTTAATTCCTTAAATATAATATTATTACATAGAAAGTCAATTAAAAAAATTTTTGATCAATTTTCTTCAGTATGTGTATGCATAGAAAGTGATTGAAAAAAAATACTGAATCATGCACAAACATTGCTATATAGATTTATAGATTATTGCGTACCTACGTGATTTGCATACCTATAACAATTGAAGTAGCAAAGCAATTGACAAAGAGTAACATGATGTCGGAATCGCAAATTAAGAACATGAAAACAAGTGTGCCTTTTATCCAACAGAAATAATTGATTTTGAGAAAACGAATTATACAACTCTCGGTTTTTGCAATTTGTCACTTCCGTCGCTTGCCCCTGCAAGAGCCTTGCTTTTTAGAACAATTTACATGACGAGCGAGGGGCTTCGTTGACGATCGTCATTTTACGCGAGGAGGCGCAAAGCTGATAAGTGGGACATACACTGCAGCATCTCGGTATTTCATAGTGAACTCGCCATCAAGTCGGACTATCCATTCAAGAGAGTCACGTGTTTCTTATCGAACTTACTCCGCGTCAAGGTACTCGTGATCTCGCCTATGTATGTACATTCGCCGCTCAAGTTGTAAATCATTGATTCGTCTACTTTTTTCACTTTTAAACTGTCAGTTGACAATTAAATATATTGCATTAAAACATAACGATCATTATAAAAAAGAGTATTATTAGTAATACGCTGAATACTTATCTATAGATACTTATAGATGAATTGTTAGCAATCGACAAAAGGAAGAGTTTCATATTAAAATTTTTCACTTTAAAATCTGTGCAAGCCGAAATATTAATCTTCAAATTATCGAATCATTTTGTTCTTTATTCAATAATATTTATACATGTACTACTGCTACATATTTTTATCAATTTAAGAAAAGTTAAATACAACTACTATTACGTTGCACGATTACAGATATACGCATTTGTATCACTTTGTGTAAATTTGTTATACGTTACCTCATTTAAATTTAAAATTATTTCTTCGAACTTTTTATAATAAAGGTGTTGTGTTTCATCCAAGCTTTTTGAGAGCAGGCCGCCATGTTCTTTTTCCGAGTCATTAACAAATTGGTACTCTGGAATTACAAGCAATTATTTGTCATTGTACGGGCTAGTATAAATTTCAAATCAAATCTCAATAAACGACTTTTATATTTTGTGCACTAAGAATAACATATCGCATTTATTTTCCAGAATCAAATTGTAATCTGTTTTACTTATATGTATGTATTTTCATTTTGAACTTGCACCTTGAATAACATATCAGTTATTTTTCATGGTAATATATTATTAAATTTAGATAATATACACTTTATGTATATTCACTTTGAACTGGCACCTTTATTAATAATATATCAGTTACTTTTCATGGTAATACATTATTACCATGATTATCTAATATATTATTAGATAATCATTTAAATTTTTAAAAGTTTAAATTTTTGAGGATCTTTTTTTGAACATGGCCTGACCTTTTCATTTTTATGATTTTTTAAAGATATCACCTACTTTTTAGAGTACAGATATACGGGGCAGCTTTCTAGTAATGCAAGTATCACAAATGTATATATTTTCGATTCTCATGTAACTTTCTATAAGCTACAATTTATGCAATACAGTTAGAAAGAATTGAAATATATGGTATATACATATATAAATATATTTATTATTATATGTACTATTAAATAAAATATATATATATTAAATATATATATTTATATACATATATTTATATATGTAATTGTTTATATAATTATAATAAATATTTACCATACATTACATATTTATTTCAATTGCAACAGAATGAATATATAATATTCTATGAATATATATACATATATACTGAAAATAAAGAATGAGCCCCTCCATTCTCATGAGAATGCAACCATATTTTCTTCGTCTCTCCGATTTTAACACGATCTTTGACGCATAAATTTTTTTCTTGATGATACTCTTTGAAATATCATAAAGTTCTTCGAATATGAATAATAAATTGTTATTATTCAAAGTAATATATCGATATAATCAATAGATTTTTTTGACAAATTACTTCTCACTTTAGAAAAAAATCATGTTTCGACAACATACATACATATATATCATATTTTTTAGTAAACTAAAGCGTACTACATCTGGTGCAAACTACATCTGATGTAAAATATTTTTAAATATATAACTAATAACAGTAGGAAGCTGCAACAAGTCTCCAAAGAAGAATGTGTTTTCTGCCAAAGAAACCATCATCTGTCGTATCAAAGATTTCACATAATCGTAGATTGATAAACATAAGTGTCACATTCAAAATCATGGATACTTCATCGATTATAAATAATTCGACAGTCTCTTTAATTTGTCTATCAAAGTTTTCAAGACCATGTCTGACAAGTACGTATACTTTGCCGTAGATTCATGGCTGACGGATAGCTGAAACATTCTATGGATCGTCAAACCATCGATATTGAATGCCACGATACCCGTGGGAGCAGATGTGGCAGTCGCTTTTTTCAAATGTATTCTGATCCAATGTTTAATCATTTCAATAAAAAAACTTTTCCGTGTGTGTACCATTCTCACTACTTACGTACAGTCGCAGAATCTGATTTTTATTCTGTAAAACTTTGCATACTGTCACGTCCTGGTTTGCTTTTTCTTCGCGAGCGGGGCGTGCGGGGCGAAACCTTGGCTTCAGCTGACTTTGTTTGGACTAGTTTTTGCGTTGAGGCAGGCTGCTATCATCAGTGCCTTTATTATAGGCACGAATTGATGAGATTTCTGAATCTCGGAATTTTATGTAATTATGTATTCGCGATGCCTTCGTGTACCTTACAAGTTGCAGAGAAATATATATATATGTATAGAGAGTTTAAAGGAGTCGTCAAGATTGTAAGAAACATAGAGCGCCTTACAATCTGATGACTCCTCTATTTATATTATAATCTCTCTTTTTAGCGGCTATGAGTGTATCATCACCCAATTCGCTCTATCTACGCTCTCTGGTTTCTTTGCGGGAAGGTACTGGAAGGGGTAATGATCGTTGGACTAGATGATAAGGTTTAACAATTTTTATATTTATTTTACACGTTCGATTCGAGCTAATACACGGATTGGTCTTTATGCTGGTTATCAACTGAGGTCTGGTAGGCTTTCATGCTGGTGCCACGTGCGGAGGCGATCGGGTTGGCGGTGGTGGCGGTGCCTTAGCGGGGTGGTCGATCGAGGTACGCGTAATCAGTGGACGCTGGTGAGGTCGCGATTTTCGCGGGAATTCCCGTTTCTTCTTGGTTTTTGGTTCCGCTATCCACCCTCCAGTAATCTGCAGGATTGAATTCTCCGTTAGCGTGTAAGGATTTTTTTTAGTGCCCTTAGATGGATGCGCTACCCTCCTCCCTTTCCCCTCGGTCGTTTAGTCTTCGGCATCTACGATTACACGAATAGTTAAAAAGGGAATATGGAGGCCTCGATGCCGTAAAAGGCGCTCGTGTGAGTTCCATGGGAAAATATTCCTGGTCTATCGACGCTCTATGTGAAAGCGCACGTCAAGACTGGAGGAAAGGAGTGGCTTCTCGACGCCTGGGGAGGCGCACGTTAAAGCCGGAGCCTTTAGATGGAAAGACGGAAGTTTGCTTGCGCTCAGCGTAAACGCGTGGTATTCTTACCGTAGCTATAGGATTCGGAAAAATGAGGATGCTGAGTCTGTGAACGATTTACTTATATACATTTGTCTTTGTGACCCTTCGCGGTAAAGGGGTGTTTCTTCCTTTGTTCTGTCGCAAAATCTTCTAGAATGTTCTAGAAGGTTCTATTTCTAAGATTTGCGATTACGCTCTTTTTGCCTGATTTTTCTCATGTCAAATACGATACTTTGTTCTGGGAGTCGCGGCGCTTGTTTTGATGTACTTGGTCGTCGTTTTTCGCAGCCTGTCGCGGTAAAACTTGCATTTGTTCTTTGCGACTGTTTTTTCGACTGTTTTATAGGTTTTTAACGTTGCCGTGATTTCTTTGTCGCGGCGTGCGCGGATCTCTCGTATTTGTTTTAAGGCTTTTTCTTAATTGTATCGTTCTGAAATTTATCTTGGTGGCTTTATTCGTGTTGCTGGATGTTTTTACGGTTGTTGGATACGTTTCGTGTTGCATTTGGATGCGTTTTTAGACGTGATATGCGATTTTGTCTACTACTCGCGAGGTGGTTTTTGCAATTATCTCAGAGTTATTTATCATGTTTTCCGTTGCCTATCCGATGGTGATGCTATTTGCGTGAGGAAATGCATTTCCTTGGTAGTTCTTTTGTTTAGTAATTAGCGCAAGCGCAGTGCGCGCGGCGTTCGGTCGCAACGGTTTCGGTGGCACGGCTTATAGCTTTACCTAACTGTAGTCGACGCGTACTATGCTCTTGTGCTATATTCTGTACCTCGTGCTCTGCTTGTGAAGAACGGGGCGCTATGCTATAGGCGCACCTGACGTTACAATACTCTATCGAAGATTTTTTTCTGATCTTCGTTCGCGTCGTAACATGTCATTTTCGGAATGGGTACGGGGCGGCGGTCCGCAGCGGCATGCTCGATAAATATTCGTGTAAATTCGTATTTACAAAAAATAGGATCCTGGTCGATGAGACGATTACGTAAATATATCGTTTTACGATATACCAGGGTCCTATTTTCTGTAAACAGCGATATCATCAACCGGTGACCTTCCCCGTGCCCCGCTACCCGCTAGCCAGTGACGTCATTCCCCTCCCCGCCCCTACGGATATCCCCGCGTCAACGAGTACCTCAGCACCCCGCACTCCCCTCTAGCCTCATGAGTCACAGATCCGGCATAGCCTTACTACTTTTATTGTATTAATTGTAATCTACGAACTGTACGAACCTCTTCTGTGCTGCTTGAACGGCGCCGCTCCTGCCTCGTAACTCACTGCCCGTCATAGTAGTCAGCAAATATTTTGCAATGTAGGCCAATATTTATTTCTAGCAACTATATTATTTTCAAAATGCCAAAATAGCCTTCATTGAAGCCATATGCAGCAACCAAAGCAGCGATTTCGATAATTTTTGTTCCAGAATAAGTGTTTTAAAACGAGGCGCCAAATGATGGAATTAAAACTTTCGTTTGAGTTTTGTGTGTGTCCTCTTTGAAAATAAACACTTACTAAGGTCAATAATGCCATGCTAGATACCGAGAAGCGGAGCACAATGGACGCTCCTGCCGCGCGCGCTGTATATCTGCGCAACACGTACCTGTTTCTCAGGCTGTAACTACAAAAGTATTTCGAATTTCGATCTAAAACTTTACAAGTATATTTTCTGAGAGTAATACTATTGATTAAAGAAAAAAAAATGATCGAAAATTTTGACCTTCAAAACCAGATTCCCCTTTTAAAAGTAAAATCATACTGATAGAGGAGAAGATGGTATTATGGCCAATGTACATATTGTGGCCTCTTTTAATATCTCCGCTATTATATAGCGAATCTTAATGATTACTTATGGAATTATTAGTTCAGTAGCTAGCCGTTACACCGTGACGC